TAACAATCAGAAAGAAACATTGAAAATTTGGGATAGACATATTAAGGAAAGTAAGCTTAGAGAATTTAACACTCACAGTGCATATTGAAGCTAAGGGCAGAAGAGGGGAAACATTAGAACAAATACTGCAAGGACTAAGAGAGGTGATAAAAAGGTAAGACTTACTTAGAAAAATAAGGGACTGGAAGTTGTGGAGAGCCTTGATTTCATGTAATTTATATATAGGTTGTCCCTAAAGTCTGAACACAGAGAAAATCTCATTAACTATATTTTCTTTTACCTCCACAGATTAAACATGCTTTTGTCAAAAGAAGAAAGAATTGACTTCTTTTTTGGGATATGCTAAAAAAGAAGGCATACTCAATGAAAATCACAGATGCAACACACTTGATTGAATGCATAAAGAGTGAATGTACTAAAATTGACAGCAATGTGGATTTATTGCATAGAGTTCACGTGAATCTTGCAAAACACATCAACCTTCGCATCACAAATGATGGAAATCATATTGAAGATTTTATTTGTTAATATTGAAATTCAATAAAATGTTGAAAATTTCATTTCTTGAAAATATGCATTTTTGTCTGTGTGTCTCAAATTTAGGGACACACCCTGTATTTTATGGAAACAGAAATCATTATATTTAAAATTCCAAATCTGTTATACAACTTAGATACACTTTGGAAAAAAAAGAATTATCCTGAATTTCCCAGAATTCAACAAAAGACAATATTTCCTGTTCCCTGTGTTATTTATTCAATCATTTTAACTCTTGCATTTTTCAATGTCTTTCTTCAAGAAAAAACAGTTTATCGTAGTTAAATACTGGCAACCAATTAAATTTCCGATGATCTCATGATAAATTGACTGCTATAAATATGACATATTTGATTTCTAAATATCGAGTCTGAAATATCTAAAAATTTACATCATTTTCTAGAAATAGGAGGTGTCACTGAAGAAAGGTTGGTTTACTCTTTAGCACTCAGATGCAACATATTAACAGATGTCACAAACATATTTTTCTTTTTATAACATTATGGACATTTTAAAATGTTTTTCTAAAAACTGACAAGATCTTTGGAAATTAATGCAAAAAAAATAAAATCTTCATTTTTCAACAAAGATCAGAGAAAAGCAAAATATTTTTGTTTTCTAAGTTTTTAAAAATGAATGGCAAAACAGTTTTCTTTTTTCCATCAAGTGGATATAAATTTGAAAATAAAGACAAAAATCAAAGAATCACATTTGCACATCTTCATTTGGAATTAAAAAACATCTGCAACCATTAAAAAAGTTCCAAGAAAATCAGAAATTATCGAAGCAGTATTTACAGATTGTTCAAGAAGGCATTACTGAAAAAAAGAATGAAAAAACAAAAGTTTTGCAAAACTTATATCAAAAATAATTCTGTGTTGCTTCCAAATTGATGACTTCAAGCAATGTTTTGAATCCTGAAATTGGAAAACAAGTTGCTAAAGAATCTTTCATGCTTCTTTAAACAGAAAATGTTAACCTTGCCTTGCCACACTCCGCAGTATTATTGAATGTGAAGTTTATTCCCCCAGCTATGAATTAAATAGCAGGGCAGACTGTGCTCTCTAGCTGTAATTGGCAACCAGTCTAGAAGAACTCTGAATTCAAAGCCATAGAGAAGGTAACAGGAAACTTCTATGTCCTTCTCAAGAACAGTCAGGGCAATGCCCAGTTTATAGTTATTAAAGAAAAGGAAGCTATGGAGAGCAATGACTTTCTACATCCTTCAGGATGAGAAGGAAAATTTGACAGTATAAGTGTCTTAGGATATTTCATAAATTAACATCAAATTTAGATCCTCTAAGAATTTCACAATATCATTAAGATTTTTCAAAGAATTCCCAAGCAGCCATTCATTTTTCTCTCACTATGAATTCTCCATTTTTACAGAATGTGAAGGCCTGGGCCAGAATGGTCAGCAATTGGCTGGAATAACTCATGGGCAGAGCATTCTGACAGTGATGGATTGCCTTTGTCTGGGTTTTGAATATAAGTCCAAAATGGCAGAAACTGAACAGAGGGTCTCAAGAATTCCGAAGCATTGATATATCTACCACACCCAGGTTTGCAACCGGCTAATACCACTTGTCTAATGAAGTTGAGCCAACGTACAACATGCTTTCCTGTGATGTCATTCCTTCTACTGCCTCTTAGAATCCAAGATGCTACTCTTAATAAAATGAATACCAAAAATAAACAACCTTTTTCATTGATATTGTTTTATGTAGCTGCATGGGAATCCAGAGACGAAATAGAACACAACAGCCTATATTAGCATGACACAAAGATACCTGCAAAAATCTGTCAGGTTTTTAAGAGGGAAGGGCTCACTAGATAGGTGAGCACCTGACCAACTCCCTTCACATGCCTTGGTAGATATCCATTCATGTAAAGCAGACCTGGCAGAGCCCCTCCCTCTATAGTTCAGACCACAGTTGCTGCACACTGATATACATGTATGCATGTATGGTAAAATATGTGACAATTTGACAAGTTAGCTGATTAAAGAATGTCATCAGAAAAATAGATTTTATTTCAACTATGAACATTTATAATCAGTATAAATTTTAGCTCTGTTATTTTACATTGAGCACTGTTTTATTACTACCAACACTCACTGTATACTATCTCTATCTATAAAAGGCAGGATGTGTGTGTGTGTAACAAATGCACAGCCACAATTTTCGACGGATTTGCACCAAAATTTACATGCACAAAGTTAGCGGGAAGGCCAAGATTGACTTTGCATTTCCCAACTCCCATCGATAGTGGAAATAATCAATTTTTTCATGCTTCTACGGCAGTTTTCATGTAGTTTGCGGCCCATTTTGTACTGGCCAGAGTGAGAGCCTATAGCTGGCTGCAATGAATAGGCAGGAAGATTCTATTGGTCTGTGTGAGAGCCAACAGCCAACTGACACGAATGTTAACTAGCATGTTAGCATGCAAAAAAAAAATCGATAACTGCATTCGTCACAAGTGGGAAAAATTTAAATCTGCATGGCACTTTGCTCCAATTGGCTCATTCGCTTGCTTAAACTCAACATTGATTCTGATTCCGCAGAACTGGGTTGGGTGTGAAAATTGTTGTTAACATTCTTTTTTCATTCGGTTTTTCCAGTTATGAGTCCTTTTTTAAAGCTGATCGTTTTGTGTTCATTTTGTTTAGTTCTTTTTTCGTAACAGATTTAATGTTTAGTATAGAGCTTAGAAAAAATTTGCAGTGTGAGATAGGCAAGAAGTAAGGCATGTAGCAACATCAGCATGGCAAAGGGCACTCCTTTAAAGGCAAGGAAGGGCAAAAATATTTTAAGTCAAGTGATAGCGATTGCTGTATGAGTTGTATGATTTTTGAATGAAGCATGGGCAACGCCGGGCCATGCTGCTAGTTATATATACATATATATATATATATATATATATATATATATATATATATATATACGATATATATACTTGTGCAATGCACAATGATTATTTAAAACACAATTGTACTTTTTGACTACAGTAAATGGATATATAGTTTGGTCAATGGCATATACAGGGCCAGCAGTAAATATGCTAATTTTATAACTCATGTAAGATGTGACTACCTTAAAATTAGCCTCAAAATTAGGTCTTCAAAATGATAATGGTGAAAATGTTCTAAGCGCCAGGGCACAACTTTACTGTAGCTGACCATGTGTAAATGTCTACAGTGCCTTAATTGCAGGGTCATCTACAGTAAATTTGCACCCTGGCTCTTGCAGCATTTCACCATTCCTGGCAGATCTTCTAATACCACTGTGTGGAATACCTACTTACAAAAGTGATGGAAAGAAAAAGAAGACTCTAAATTAATTCAGTTGTTAGAGAAAATAATTTTTAAATTCTCAGCCCTGCTCTGCCATGTACATGTGTAGTCCTACCGATACAACAAATTTTATCTGATGAAGTCCTGAAGAATGAAATGTGTCACAAGTAAACTTTTTCCACATTGTCATACATTTTCCCCAGTATTGTTCTATATATATATATATATATATATATATATATATATATATATATATATATATACAGTGCTGTTCGATAAAAAGTGACTCACCTGATTTTTTTTTTACTAAATGTTTTCTTCTCTGATGAAACGAAAGTTGAGCTAAATTCAAAGGATAAGCAATCTAAAATCTGAAGAAGAAGCTTTGAAAGCTCTTTGAATTTAGCAGTAAGTACTGTCAAACATCCATTCAGTTCTGGGGATGTTTTTCTTTTCACGGAACTGGTTTCTTAAAACCTATTGAAAAGACCCTCATGAGCGAGCAGTACAAGAGAATTTTAGAGTCTTGTCTGCTCCCTTCTGCTGAAAGGGTGCAAATCGGCCCCACCAAGCACATTTTTATGCAGGATAATGCTCCCTGTCACAAATCAAAATTGATAAAGGAATACTTTGATGAGAAGCAGGTGAGTGTTATGACATGGTTGCCCCAATCTCCTGACCTCAACCCCATAGAAAACTTATGGAGCATGTTGCTCAAGTGCTTTCTCGAGAGCCTGTACTTTATAATGCTTCATAACTCATGAGTATAGACTATTCCAACTAACATCTATGTGTTAGCTTTATTCAACTCAAATTGTGGATTGAGTTGAAGAAAGCTAATGCATTTGACATTAGTTGAAATAGTCTATACTCATGAGGTAATTTTGGATTTCTCTATTATGTAATTTATATGCTCTGTTATAATACATTGAGCTCTTTTTGTGGCTCAGTTTTAATATTTTATATTATTAGGATATATATCTATCTATATATGTATGTGTGTGTGTGTATCTATGTATGTATGCATGAGAGAGAGAGAAAAATGTGTGTATATATATACTGCTTGGTGGAACATCAAAAACTGATCAGGCTAGATAATAAAAGAAAAACATGTAAAGACAGCATTGTGACATTGAATGAAAGTGTTGACATGAGCTGGACTTGTACTTACATCTGTGATTGGAGCCACACAGTTTGGCGGTGACAAGCCATCAAGCTTTTGGCTAAGAACAGATGCATCTCGTGAATACCTCTGATGTGACTTGAGAATCTCAGCTGCAAAAAGTCAAAGACAAATAAAAGACATTAGAGTACAAAGTACAAAGAGTCAGTGTTTAATCAAGAATAAAGCAAAGTTTTTGTAATCAAAGTAAAAGAAATCATTTAACATATTGCACATGAAAATGTTTTGTGTTTAATGAAAAAATTAAATTTGATTCACTTGACAGTCAACTCTTTTTCCCCACTCCCACTACTTTTTTTTTTTTTAATAAGGTCCAACCAAGAGAAATAAATCAATTTACACTTGAAATAAAATTTCATTAGAAACAAGGAAAAGAGTGCCGAATTGCTATGTAATATCAATCTTTTTATATAGCAGCAAATGCTCACAGATGAAGAGGAGACTTTAAGCAACAGAAATGTGGTTGTACAGAAGAATATAAAAAATACCATGGATGGGGCATGTGATCAATGAGGAAGTTTTAAGGAAAATGGGGAAAAAAGGACAATCATACATAAAATTACAAATGAAGAGGAGACTTGAAACGACAGAGACAAGGTTCTACAGAAGGATAATGAGAATGCTATGAAAGGTGCATATGAGCAACAAGGAAATCTTAATGAAAATAAGAATGAAAAGGATATGTAAAATCAGAAAGGTACAGATAAAATTCTGGGGATTCATAATGAGGAAAGAAGCCTAGGAAAATTTGACACTCACAAGACATATTGAACGCAAAAGAGTCAGTAGAACAGCAAATAAGCAAAGCTTGTCTAAATGGATAGCAGAACAAGGAATGGGAGGAATAGTAAAAAGAGAGACATTGCTAAGAACTACAAAGGAGAGGAAATTGTGGAGAGCCATGATCATCCACATTCAAAAGGGACATAGAAGAATTCTCATAGTTGTGGATGTGTAGTGTAATTGTTAGCCACTCTGAAAGAGAAATTGGCAAGCCAAATTAGAATTATGACAGAGTTCATTACATTCACTTTTCAATAATGCCCTTGAGAAAGCAATGAATCGATATTTTCTAACCCCAGGTACGTGCTAAATAGCAGAGCTGAGTGGGCTTTCTTGCTTTGAGATTGCAACCAGTCCAGAAGAAGGAAACTGAATTGAAAACCTGCCTAAAGAGGAAAGAGCTTTATCAGTCTCTATCTTGCTCTAGACACACAAGTCTAAGGGCACCTGGTGAGAATCAAATTCACAAATTAATAATAATGATATATCAGACCAGTTCGTTAGACATTACACCAAATTGTCCATTCAAATGGATTTTAAGGCAGTCCATTTAGATTGTTACCAGAGACTATAATTATCAAAACCTTTTGAAGATTTTAGCAAAGACCGGGCTTGTGTTAAGACAATGGATCAGTTGCATGAAGTAATGAATATCCAGAGAATGGTAGAATTGTTTGAACAAGAAAACAGTTGAATTTTTATCAAATGGGATTTTTTGGTGGCATCTCTTGAAAAGCAAGCAAAGAAATCATTGCTTCTGACATTTTCTTGTAAATTTTCTGCTTAACAAAATGGAAACTGACATTGATTTAATAGAAAGTGAGAAGTGGGGAGGGTAACTCCACCACACCAAAGTAACGGATGATAATTTTCTGCTCAAAATAAAATTCACTCGACAGATTCACACTGCTTTGATTCTTGATTCCACATACAGTAGTTATTTTTTCAAATTTTTTTTTGTCTTCATTTATCTCAAAACTTTCAAGAGCAAAAAGTAAAGACATTTTTCAGGGAGTTTTTCAGTTTAGAGCAACATACCATTATCCCATTTCTGATCAATGCTTGTTAAAAATAAAATGGTGATGTATAGTTTTAGACAAACACGTCTTTGTTGTCTTCTTCAAAATATTTAGCAGTCAATTAAAAGTATGAGAATTACAAATCATTACAGAAAGTTATATAACATAATAATTTATGTTAAATTTGCAATAAGCAGATTTTTTAAACATTTCACTCCAAGCAAGGCAATAAAACCACTACGACACAATGGATTACTGAATACAAAAGAATGAGAAAAAGAAAACATTTATTAAGGAGTGAAAAGAATAATAGAACTGGAATTGAAAAGAAAATGATTGATATTGCATTTAAATTTTTGAAAATGAAAATTGACTGGAAAGCAAGAAGCCAGAAAAGAGTTCCATAACTGAAGTGTGATAGAAGAAATTGTTAGCATAGAACTTTGTTACATCTAGTCATTTCAACTGTAAAATGAGGAGGCCTATCTACGCATGAAAATATTTATAGAAAAGGCAGAGGGAAGCTATATTATGGCTTAAATTCATAAAGTCTAGGTACCAAAAGAGGAAAGCTAATTAGAACAATTAGCATGAAAATATTTATAGAAAAGGCAGAGGGAAGCTTATTATGGCTTAAATTCAAGCAAGTCTAGGTACCAAAGAGGAAAGCTCATCAGAACAATTAGCATGAAAATATTTATAGAAAAGACAGAAGGAAGCTATATTATGGCTTAAATTCATAAAGTCTAGGTGTGACGGAGAGAGAGAGTCTGAGAAACACTCACACATATTTTATTTTTTTTTTTAGTGAAATTTTGGACTTGATTTCAACAGCAAAATTAGATCAGAGCAATTTTGTTTACTGATGGGAAATCTGATGTAGGGGACGAGCTGTACCCATTGGAACTGGGTCATTAGCACGCAATGAAAATGGTCGAAATAATTTTTATTGATTAAAACTCAGAATAGATTTGAATAGTGAAATTAAATCAGAGCATTTTTTTTACAGATGTGGAAATTTGATATAGGCCAGAAGTTGTACCCATTGAATATGGGTCATGAGCAGACATTGGAAATGGTCGAAATAATTTTTATCGATTAAAAATTGAAATAGAGCTGAATAAGCTAGAAGGACCTTTTGAATTCACATGATTTTTGTTGAAACAGTCAAAACCCCGTGATAATCACGTGTGACCAAGGTTCAGTTGTAACCAGCCGGATTTTTCTATATAAACGCGTAGTTATGCTGCAAAAAGTAAGATGGGAGAAATTTCTTGAAGAGAGGAGAGAGAATTGGGACAGGTGAGCGTAGAGATGGTAGAGAGCAAATGGAAGAAGCAGACAGTGAGTGTTGAGACTCAAGAAGGAAAGAGCGTGACGTCAAAAATTGGAATGAAGGATCCGCGGACATGTACTGTTGATATAAGTACCGCTGCTCTGCTACCACGAATATTACTACTACTGTTACTACTGCTAAGGAGGAATGCCACTATAAACTTTAAGCCACACATAGAAATCTTATTCCCCCATCGCAAGAGTCATATATCATTCTGAGATGATGTAACAAGTTAATCATAGCACACACTCTCTCTCTCTGTCCAGAATCCAGTGTATGCATTTTTACGTCAATTACTTTTCTTTTCTGTAACCAGTTTCTCTTCTCTACTATTGTTTCTGCTATATAAAAGACATTAACAATTCAACCATTGAATAATTGTTTGTCCAGCTTTCTGCAGATATTAATTTTTTTTTGTTGCATTCTAAATTTCTTAGCACAGACTCCCCAGCCGTGTCTACATCTTCAGTCGACCGTGAATGGATGCACATCAATTCTGCTTTCTGGATCAAACCTAACACAATGTGGGCATGAAGCAGGATTAAACCAGTGGACCAGTCGAATAATCTATGGATGCTCAGAGGACCTATGTCCACTCCCTTAAGTTCAGTTAGGACCGAGTAGACACCTCAACCCCGAGAGTAAGACGTCGGAGGTTGAGGGGCTGGGGCGAAAGTGTTAGACTAGGTAGAAAAGAGGAAAGCTTATCAGAACAGTTACCTTGCAAGTTTCTTTGTATTTATAAAAAAAAAATCCTATCAAGAAACTATTTCTGATCCGCTTCCTCAGCTGTACCAATTCAATCCATACTATAAGGATGACTATGACTTTCTGAGAGTGTCATTACAAAAACCAACTCTTAAATGAGTATCAAATACACATATAAAAAAATCTCATAAGGCTAATATTGGCTGACTGAGTTAAATTTGCTAAAATCTTGACCCTCCCAAAACACCTGCAAGTGTCGTGAAAAGTCATTATCAATATAACAGGTACTGTAGTTTGAATGGGAAGAAATCTCAACAGGTAGGAAGCTGGTGTATCACTCTCATTGAGGAGGATAGTGAAACTATACAAGTTACCAAATGAGATGCAACATGTTTACATGGAGCTTGCCCAAAACCTGTCTTCCTGTTCTGAAGTGGCTGAAGCTAATCGGAAACAAAATCAGGTGATGTCTACACATTTGACGAACTGATGCTTAAAGAGATAAATTATGGCAGCAAGGGGAATCAAAACTGAAAAGTGAGAAAAGATGATTGACACAAAATGTGAAAAGGTGAGAAAGGAAGGAAGATGAGAACTAAAAAGAAATTGTGTAAAAAGAAGAGAGAGATAAAGAAGAGAAAGATTCAAAATTATATAGAGAGATAAAAAAGAAAAAAAAGAGAAAGATTCCAAATTATGGAGGGAGAAGAAAGAGAGATAGAGATTAAAAAAAAGGAAATAAAGTAGAGAGATAGAAAAAAGGGGAAAGATTCCAAATTATGGAGAGAAGAGAGAGAGAGGGAGATAAAAAGGTAAAGATTCCAAATAATGAAGAGAGAGAGAGATAAAAAAGGAAAAGATTTGAAATTATGGAGAGAGAGAAAAAAAAAGAAACATTCCAAATTATGGAGAGAGAGAGGAAAAAAAGGGAAAGATTCCAAATAATAGAGAGGGATAAAAAAGAGATTGAAAATTATGAAGTGAGAAGAGAGAGATAAAAAAAGAGAAAGATTTGAAATTATGGAAAAAGGGAGAAAAAAGGGTAAGATTCCAAGTTATGGAGAGTGAGAGAGATAGAGAGTGAAAAAAGGGAAAGATTGCAAATTATGGAGAGAGACAGAAAATGGAAAAGATTTCAAATTATGGGGAGAGATAGAGAGAGAAAAAAGGGAAAGATTCCAAATTATGAAGAGAGAGAGAGATAAAAAAGGAAAAGATTCCAAATTATGAAGAGAGAGAGAGATAAAAAAGGAAAAGATTCCAAATTATGAAGAGAGAGAGAGAGAGATAAAAAAGGAAAAGATTCCAAATTATGAAGAGAGAGAGAGAGAGATAAAAAAGGAAAAGATTCCAAATTATGGAGAGAGAGAGATAAAAAAGGAAAAGATTCCAAATTATGAAGAGAGAGAGAGAGAGATAAAAAGGAAAAGATTCAAATTATGAAGAGAGAGAGAGATAAAAAGGAAAAGATTCCAAATTATGAAGAGAGAGAGAGAGAGATAAAAAAGGAAAAGATTCCAAATTATGGAGAGAGAGAGAGAGAGAGATAAAAAAGGAAAAGATTTGAAATTATGGAGAGAGAGAGAGAGATAAAAAAAGGAAAGAAAATTTTTTGAAATTATGGAGAGAGAGAGAGATTTGAAATTAGAAAAGATTTGAAAAAGAGAGAGAGAGAAAAGGAGGGAAAATTCCAAATTATGAAGAGAGAGAGAGAGAAAAAAAGGAGGGAAAGATTCCAAATTATGGAGGGAGAGAGAGAGAAAAAAAGGAGAGAGAGAGAAAAAAAAGGAGAGAAAGATTCCAAATTATGGAGAGAGAGAGAGAAAAAAAGGAGGGAAAGATTCCAAATTATGGAGAGAGAGAGAGAAAAAAAGGAGGGAAAGATTCCAAATTATGAAGAGAGAGAGAAAAAAAGGAGGGAAAGATTCCAAATTATGAAGAGAGAAAAAAAGGAGGGAAAGATTCAAATTATGAAGAGAGAGATAAAAAAAAAAGTGAAAGATTTCAAAATATTGAGAAAGAGAGGAGAGAGATAAAAAAAGGTAAAAAATACCAAAGAAACATATAGACAGGGTGGGGGAAGAGAATTAAAGCAGAGAACACTGAGTGGGAATGTAGAAAAAGATGGATATGAGGAGAGAAAGAGAAAATAAAGAAAGCTAGAGATAATATTTTTTTTTTTTTAAATCAACTGAAATCTGAAAAGATGAAGCAATGAGAGAAAATATTGGAAAGTCGAAAAGAAATCAGAAAATTTAGAGAAATTTCTAAAGAGAAAAGAAAGTCAATTTGATGGAGCCAGCAGAGTTCGGAAACTGTTTCATCTTGGACAGTTGTTTTCGATTATGTCACTCACTGAAGGCAAAAATAATGTTTGGGGAAACAGGAAAAGGATGCTATCAAAATCCCAAATATTGCGGTAAAGAAAATAATTCAGAATATAAAAATATGAGGAGACAAAAGAATATTGAAATGAAAGTCAAAGCTAACAGCTTAACTCAGGCAGCAATAGACAAAATTTGACATCATTCAGAGACAATATTTCTTTTTCTCTTTGTTAAATAATAAACAGAATATAGTAAATCTAACTTTGTAAACCTTTGATTTGCAACAAAATATATCTTCATATGAAAACTGGAGATTTTTGGTTTAATGTTCAATTCCAAGTTAATTGTTTCATTAGAAGAATCTATAATAAACTTGAAACCTATTGATAATATCAATTTTATACAGTACACATTTATACTAAAGTGGCATTGTCATATCACTTAACAATATAGCATCATGGCCCTCCACAGCTTTCTGTCTCTTGTTGCTCTCAACAATGCTTTCTCTTTTATAACCATTTTTTTCTTTGTGGTAATTTCTTCTTCCATCTATTTACTCAAACTTGTCAAATAAGTTCAAACTCTCTTGTAATGTTCCATGACCCTTCAGATTA